GCCCTGATGGGGGGCTGGTGAGCCCACTGCCCGTCCCACTGCCCAGCACTGTCTCCTTGTGTCCCGCTCGGGTCTGTCTGTCTCCACCTGGTCTTGTACTTGGATCGGCAACTCTCTAAGGAGGGGCCAGTTTGTACAGCGCCTAGCACCATGGGGTCCTGGGCCGTTGCTGGCATGCCCTCTGCCCTACCGTAATACACCCAATAGCCATCAAAATGTACCATACCTGGCACAATGGGACCCCAGTCCAGCACTAGGCTGCCTAGACGCTACCGTAATACACCTAATCGGAATGCAAATATACACAATGGGGTCCTGGTCCATGACTGGGGTGCCTAGGCACTACCGTAATGCACCTAGTAATACTAGTGTTGCCCCTTTGGCCTGAGCCCCTTAGACAATATTTGGGGGCCTTGCAGGGTTATTTCTATTAGGAGGAAAAAATCAGTGATCGCCAGGGGGTTTGTTTACACGGAATGTGCAGAAAGTCCCGTGTCCCTGAACGCAGTAGGAAGAAACGGCAGCAGGCAACTTCCTCGCTCAGAAATCCCCATGTCTGCCCATCCAGTGGGCTCTTTGCCCAAGAAGCCCTGTCCCTCTGCTACTTCTAATGGTCACGCTCGTAATTCTTGCTTCAAGGTGTCAGTCAGTTGCTTGCAAGGTCAGGAAGGTTTTTCTTCCCCCCGCCCCCTGATGCACAGTTGTAATCTGGAGGCAGGGAGGGCTTATTTCACCTTCCTCTGAGGCATTGGGGATTGGCCACAGCTGGAGACGAGACATTGGATGGAGTGGACCAGCGCTGCGGGTGTTCTTAGATGCCTGACTGGTGGGTCTTGCTCACATGCTCAGGGTCCAACTGATGCAGATTCAGGGCCAGGAAGGAATTTCCCCCAGGTCAGATTGGCAAGTACCTTGTTTTTTGCCTTCCTCTGCAGCGTGGGCCACAGGTCATCTGCTGGGATCATCTGGGCAAATCTCACTTAATCAATTCTCTGCCATGGTGTGGGCCTCGGACTGGGTCTCTGCTGGCCTCTGCCTACGGTTTGCAGTTTGAGCTCAGTCGAGCTCCGTGTCGGGGTATTTGGGTAGAATGGAATGTCCTGTTGGGCGCTCTGCGGGAGGCCAGGCTAGATGATTTAACGCTCCCTTCCGGCCTGAAACTCTGTTCCCCTGGCGTTCTGCCTCTGCCAGCCACGCCCTACAGCCCGTCTCCTCACCCTTGTGTTGGCAACCGTCCATCCACCCTCTGACCTGCGAGTCTGCGGGCACCCCTGATCGTCAGCAGCTGCTGAGGGGGCTTGGATGACTCCTTCGGTAGGTCCTGAAGCAGCGTGCGGGCCAGGCCGCTTTGGCTTTAATGAGATCTCAGACGGTCGTGGGATGCAAAGCTCCACTGGTGGTTGACAGGGGCCCCTGTCTGCAGACCGGCCGTAACAGCAACAGGAGCCATTCCATGACACGATCCCACGGCCGTTGAAACTAGACACATTCAGACTGGAAATAAGGCGTAGATTTTTACGGTGAGACTAATTAAGCATTGGAACAATTTACCAAGGGTCGTGGTGGATTCTCCATCACTGAACGTAGGAATGGTCATAGTGGGTCAGACGATCAGGCCATCTAGCCCAGTATCCTGTCTGCCGACAGTGGCTAATGCCAGATGTTTCAGAGGGAGTGAACAGAACAGGCATTATGAAGTGATCCATCCCTTGTCCACTCCCAGCTTCTGACAGTCAGGGCATGGGGTTGCGTCCCTGACCATATTACCGAATAGCCATTGATGGACCTATCCTCCGGGAACTTACCTAATTCTTTTTGAATCCTGTTAGTCTTGGCCTTCACAACATCCCCTGGCAATGAGTTCCACAGGTTGACTGTGCGTTGGGTGAAGAAATATTTCCTTATGTTTGTTTTAAACCTGCTGCATATTGATGTCATTGGGTGACCCCCGGTTCTTGTGGTGATATGAAGGGGTAAATAACACTTCCTTATTCGCTCTCTCCACACCAGTCATGATTTTTTAGACCTCTCTCACATCCCCCCTTAGTCGTCTCTTTGCTGAGCTGAACAATCCCAGTCCTTTCTTCAAATTGAATTGACGATTTTTAAACCAGGGCTGGGTATTTTCCTAAGAGATCTGGCCTAGGGATTACTTTGATGTTGTGAAGGCCAAGACTATAACAGGGTTCAAAAAAGAACTAGACAAATTCACGGCGGATAGGTCCATCAATGGCTATTAGCCAGGATGGGCAGGGATGGTGTCCCTAGCCTCTGTTTGCCAGAAACTGGGAATGGGCGACAGGGGATGGATCACTTGATGATCACCTGTTCTGTTCATTCCCTCTGGGGCACCTGCCATTGGCCACTGTCAGAAGACAGGACACTGGGCTAGATGGACCTTTGGTCTGACCCAGTCTGGCCATTCTTATGTTCTCTGGCCTGTGCTAAGCGGCGGGTCACGCTGGTTGGTTACAATGGGCCCTGCTGGCCTTGGAGTCTACGAAGCAGGATCTCCAACAGCACAGGGAACCAAGGAAGCCAAATTGAAGGGGCCTACGCCCTATTTTGTTTTCCTTTGCAGGTCGGGTTACCACCACGCGTCTGGGTTTTCCCGGACGTCGCCTCTCTTTTTTTGAGGCTCCGTCCTCTTGTCGCGGCGGATTTTTCAAATAACAGGTAACGTCCGGGATTTTTGTAGAGCAGACGCCGCGTTTCAGAAAGAGTCCCGCTTGGTCGGCTCCCCTGCACCTGCAGCTGGTTGGGCCGTTCCCCTGAAGCCATAGTTGCTGGCTCCCGCCCACCTGGGTACCAGCTCCCAGCCCTGGGGAGGGGGGTCCCACAGGGAGGTGCTGACTGGCTGTTGCTGCGTCCTAGGCTTGCACTGGCCACTGTGACAGGGAGTGACACGGCCCCCCCACCTCCAGTGAGTACCCCTGCCACAGGTACCCCCTCCAGCCCCCAACTGTACCCCCCCTGGGTCAGTGTCTTCTTTCTGGAAACCGAAAATATGGTAACCTCATTTGCAGGACTTCTTTAAAAAGTCTTCCCCTCTCCTCCAGCCACCTTTACCACACCCCTACCACTGCCTCCTCCCTCCCTATGTTCAACTCAGTCTCCCCGCGTACCATTCCTGGGTCCAGGTCTGCTCTAATTTGATGTGCCGCAGCCATGCCATCTGCAAATGCATGGCTCCCTGACCTTGCTGGCCGCCCTCTTATGCAGCCAGAGGCAGTGCAAAGTGGCTGCAAAGCTGCTGTTAGCCCCGCCACCTCCCCCACGGAATACAGGCCCTGATTGTCACTTACCCCGTCTGCCCATGTGGGGGCGCGGCTGGTGGCTTTAAACTTCCTTTGCACTCTCTGTATTCTAGGCCCTGCCTGGCCCTTTTGCAGCGGTTAGAGCAGCCTCGCAGCTGCTCTAAGTGATGGGGGGGGGGGAGAGACTAGCCGCTGTGCGGTGGCCGTACCCCCTGATCCGCCCCCAGGGGGCAGAGAATAGCCTCCGTGCAGTGTCCTCTGGCTACACGCCCAATCTGCCCCCTATGGGTGCTGGGGGGCAGAGAACAAGGGCAGTGCACCCCAGCAATGCCCCCAATCCATCCCTATGGGCCCTGGGGGGGCAAAGAATAGTCCACACCCCTGAGCTGCTCCCGATGCCGTCTCCATACTGCCTGGGGAGCATTGGGGGGTGTGTCTGTGATGGATTTGCAGAGACTAGTTTCCACCTATTTCGAAGCTCCTCGATGCAGTGATGCCCTTCCCTCCCTCCTTCGGGAATGCCTGTGACTCAGGGGCCTCCCAGCGTGGCTGTAATTTACGAGAGCAGAGCGTTCTCCCCCGAGGGGGGGCTGGATTTTCTCTGCACCTGTTGCCCTTAGGAGTTCCTGTCTCCCCAGCAGGGCCCCGCACCTGGGTTCTGGGCGGCCCTGCCGTGCGGTTCTCCCAGCGCTGCGAGCGGCGGCCCTGTTATTCAGGTGAGATCTGTTTGTGCCCAGACAGGATTGGCCGGACCCGCTCCCGGGAGGGGCAATCATGCGCCCCCTGCCGATGCCCAGGCTCTGTCCAGATGCCCAGGCATCCCCGAGACGCTCGCGGGGATTGTGAAGTGGTGGGGAGCCGGAAATGCAGAGGGACAGCGTGGCCCAGAGCTTCAGCCCGGCTCTTCTGAAATCTCAGATGCTCTCCATGCACCAGGGGGAACCGGTGCCCGACGAGGCCGGCTGCAGCATCTGCACCGCCTCCGTGGAGAAACGGATCAGGTGAGGCTGAGATCCAGGCTCTGGTATTTGGGGCGGGGGGAGATGCTGCCCAGTATGAGGGCATAGGGGAGTGTCGGCCGTTCTGTGTCCCACCACCTGCCAGATGCCCAATGACCCACCTCTTCCCAGAATCCTTAGAGGATGCAAAGGATTGTGGGGATTTGGGTCCTGGGGTTACTTTTTTTTGCGGGGGGGAGGTCATTTTGTGGGCAGCAGGAAAAAGAGAGGATGAAGGGAGCTGGGAGTGAGGCTGGGATGTGGGGGGGAGGAGGAAAGGGGGGCTGGTGGGATGCAGAGGGGAGGGGGGCTGGGCTCTGGTGGAGTGGAGAGGGGTGGGGACTGGTGCAGGTGAGTCTATATCTTCTAGCGATGCCAGATGTCCCCTGCGGCTGTGCCAAGCTGCCAGGCCCTTGGCTTTCCCCGTCCCTGGTCAGTTACAGTTGCTCCGCTGGCGCGGCAAGGGAGCAGGTGTCGCTGGCATTCATGACACGGTGGGTGGCGGCAGGGGGGCGGTGTGGCAGCAGGGGGGAGCTTGGATCGCCGTACGCTGTGAGGCTCCTCTCTGTCTCCCTGCAGGGCCGAGCAGGCCTGCCGGCTGCACGAGCGGGTCCTGGACTCCCTGTCCCGCTTCCAGGACTGGCTGCGGGGGGCGGAGCTGTGGGCCGCCTCCCCTGCGTCCTCCCAGGTGCCCTTCGCTGTGGCCAAGGAGGAGCTGAAAAAGTTTGAGGTGAGGATGGGAGTGAGGGGAGGGGCAGTGTGGCCCAGCGGATGGAGCACTAGATTGGGATTCAGGACACCAGGGTTGGGTTCATAGCTCTGCCACCCTCCTGCTGAGTGTCTTTGGGCCAGTCCCTGCCCTGCTCCGTGCCTCAGTTTCCCCTCCCATCTTTTGTTTATTTAGACTTGGGGCAGGGACCGCCTCTTGCGCGACCCAGCACAATGGATGGGGATGTAGGTGCTACCGTAATACACATAATAAGGCCCAGCACAATCCATATCTGGATGCAGATATAGGTGCTACCGTAATATACATAATAAGGCCCAGCTGATGGGGCCCCAGTTCTGGGATGCGGATGTTGGTCCTACTGTAATATACATAGTAAGACAAGGCGTGATGGGGATGGTAGATGCTACTCCAATAGGGTTTATAGACACTACCATAATACACCTAATAAGGCTCAGCACAATGGGGCCTAGATCCTGGGTGGCGACTGGTAGCTACAACCGTAATTAACCTAATAGAGCTCAGCATGATGACAGTAGGTGGTAGTGTAATACACCTATTAAATAATACTGGAAGAAATTGAATGATTTCTTCTGCGCAGTGATGTTGGCACAGCCAGGGTAGGGCAGGGTTGGCAAGAAGTCTCTTGAAAGAGACCTCAGGGGAGACACTCAGTAGCAGAGGTGTCTTTGAGTTGTGTTTATTGAAATCCTTTTATTTCAAAGGTGGCAGGAAAAGTTGTATACACCGAAGATCAAACAAGGGGAACATTTATAACCCCCAAGTCCTTCCCCTTGGCAAGAGGCTAACGAGGTCTCCAGTTTCCATAGTGCTTCAAGGATCTCGGCAGCCCGTTGCAAACGTTTCATTTCGTCTCACGTTTCTGCCCCTCTGAGCCGGGCCTTGTAATTTCCATTTGACAGATAGGGAAACAGAGATTAAAGGGACTTACCGCAGAGATACATAGTGGGAGAACTGGGAACAGAACCCAGGAGTCCTGCCGCCAAGCCCCTTGCTCTAACCACTAGCCCCTACTCCCCTGCCAGAGCTGGGAATAGAACCCAGGCATCCTGCCTCCCAGTCCCTTGCTCTAACCACTAGCGCCTACTTGCCTCCCAGAGCTGGGAATAGAGCCCAGGATGTGCTCTGCAGGTCGGCACAGTGGGGGGGTGGGCCTGTAACACATGCTCACCAGAGGGTAACAACTGCAGTACGTGAACACAGCACAACTGCTAATGAATTGATCCTCACAGCCCCCTCCCACCCCAAGACAGGGGAGAATTATTCAAATTTTACAGATGGGGAAACTGAGGCACAGAACGACGCGGCGACGTCTACGGCAGGGGCCAGCATCCAAGCCAGTCCTAGTCCAGGGCTACAACAATAACAAGGCCGCCCTTCCTCACCAGTGCTGGTGTCCCTTTCTCCCTCCAGGTGCTGCAAAGGCAGATCCAGGAGAAGTTGCACCATCTGGAGTCCTTAAACCGGCAGTACCGGCAGCTGGTTCAGGCCAACGGCATCTGTTTGCAGGGCCGGCTCAGGGCCGCAGTCCAGGAGAGCAACCAGCGCTGGGACAACCTCCAGAAACGAGCTGCTGCCATCCTCAAGAGACTGAAGGTACCGGTCGGCAAGTCCCTGGGAGGGAGGGAGGGGCACTGGCACGGCGGGGAGGCATCTCGAGGTACCATCTTTGTGTCCAGGAATAACCGGCAGAGAAATGTGCCTGTGGTGTCTCCCCCGCCAATAATATTTGGGTGCGGAAGGAGACAGGATGGGCGTATAAACCTGCCCCTTGTTACACTGGGGATCCCTTCCTCAGCAGGAAGACCCGGACAGTGAAACAGATCAGATTTACACAAGAGGGGGATCTGGCCCGGAAAATGAAATTGCTCAGGCCCTGATTCGCGCCACTCGGCTGAGCAAAATGCAAAAGAAGCCGTTCTTCCGCTCGACTCCGCGCCGATTAGGCCTCAACTGGAGTATTGTGCCCAGTTCTGGGCGCCACGTTTCAGGAAGGATGTGGAGAAATTGGCGAAAGTCCGGAGAAGAGCAACAAAAATGATGAAAGGTCTAGAAAACATGACCTATGAAGGAAGATTGAAAAAACGGGGTTTGTTTAGTCTGGAAAAGAGAAGACTGAGAGGGGACGTGATAAGTTTTCAAGGTTGTTTAAAAGGAGGAGGGAGAAAAATTGTTCTTAACCTCTGAGGACAGGACAAGAAGCAATGGGCTTAAATTGTAACCAGGGAGGTTTAGGTTGGACATTAGAGACAACTTCCTAACTGTCAGGGTGGATAAGCACTGGAATAAATTGCCTAGGGAGGTTGTGGAATCTCCATCATTGGGGATTTTTAAGAGCAGGTTAGACAAACACCTGTCAGGGATGGTCTAGAAGATAATACTTAGTCCTGCCGTGAGTGCAGGGGACTGGACTAGATACCTCTCGAGGTCCCTTCCAGTTCTGTGATTCTATGAGAAAGATCAAAGTGTCAGAAACTCAGGGATACCACGCAGGCATCTGATGAATTAGTAGTAGTATTGGTTCACCCTTTGTATCGTGATAGCACCTAGAAGCTACAGGTATGGACCAGTACCCTGTTGTGCCAGGCGGCGTACGAACACCGAACAAAAAAAAAAAAGTCTGTCTGCCCCCAAGAGATTCTTGGGCTTAAGGCGAAAACAAAGAGGGACGTGTAAAAATTACCAGCCACTTCTGCAAAGGTGTCAAGAATTCAAAATCCTGGCCCTTTATTATAATAGGGTTACCATATTTTGTGCCTCCAAATGGAGGACACCCCACGGCCCACGGCCCCGCCCCCAGCCCCGCCCACACCCCCACCCAACCCCGCCCCCTCCCCAAAGTCTCCGCCCCCTCCCCTGCTTCCCGCGAATATTTGATTTGCGGGAAGCCTGAAGCAGGTAAGGGGGGTGTGGGGGGAGGAGGCGCGGCCCAGGCTGGTCCCCC